TCATTCTTCAAGGGCTTCACTGACTTCTGGAATTTCTATCGAATCAAAAGCTTTGCTGTAGTACACGAGGCCAATGACTGGAGGAATTTTGTACTCGGCGCATATTTCAATCAACTGGTTAGTGCCATGGAGGTAGTCAGTTGTCGAGAATCCTTTTAGGAAGCTACCTTGTTCATGAGGCTGGTTTCCATCCAGCGCTCTAGCTATTCTGTCTGTGATGATTTTTACAAGAAAAAAAAGTTTGTAAATAATACTGATCAAGTTGATGGGACGATAATTGGCAATGTTTTTCGGATCTCCCTTCTTGAAGAATAAGGCTATGATGGCTTCATTGCAGTCCTCTGGTACTTTGCTCTGTGCTTCGCCTGCAGCCTCAATGAGGTCAACAGTGACGATGTCCGGCCACCTACTCACGCTTCGCCCTCGAGGCGTCTTGGTCATTTCGTTCTCGCGTGCGCTGTCCCTGATGTATCTTCATGGTCTTCGTCCTGGTCCTTGGCAAATCCGTCCGTCCTCGACGTCCACACATACTAGAAGGTCTCGCACAGGTCCTCCTTGACTTCGGATTCGTCCAAACTTCCTCGGAGTCTTCGTCCAGGTCCAGGTGTGTGTGTGTGTGTGTGTGTGTGTGTGTGTGTGTGTGTGTGTGTGTGTGTGTGTGTGTGTGTGTGTGTGTGTGTGTGTGTGTGTGTGTGTGTGTGTGTGTGTGTGATAGACATGATAGGAAAAGAAACTAGGACCGGAAATGTGAAGTTCCTATTCATTAATAAAAAAACTTGATGAACCACGAAGAAAAAGTAAAAAGACACCTGGACGCAGGGACAACTGAAATTCATGGATGGATGAAATTAGGGAGACAAACTAAAAAGAGTCGGAAATCATTACTGTGGGGCACCACAATCTACGTTTAAGACAGCTAAACGATGACCCTTAGGATTTTGCAAAGTAAAGTCCTGCACTGGCAAATAAGGAGACATGAACTTTGCAACAACTATGCCTCTTATTACCTAGACATCATCTTAAATAATCATGGTAAGAAGCACACTGGCAGAATAAAGATTTTCTCATACTGTTGTACATCAGCATAAAAGGTCAGGAGAAGGAGCCGATGGAGAGCAGCTCTTGCTGTAATTATGTGCTTCAGCATCATATCATTGATGATTCTAACCAAGAAATTCTGGCATTCGAAGTTGAAAAATATGGGGCCTGTGGGCCTTGAAAAAGGATATTTACCACCTTGCCACCCATGCTTACCACATCCCGACCTACTCAGACCCTTCAGAGCGCACAGACCAGTCGACCTTTTGGGCGACCTCAACGCAAGTCACAGAGCCCTTGGACATGCTGACAACAGTAATGCTAGAAACAGCATAGCTAGGTTAATGGCAGGTGGGCGTCTAAACCATTATAGCCCCAATTACATTGATGTTAGCCTAAATAACTTAACACTCAAACTATACCTGGTAGCCTGACAACCAATGGCCATCTTCGAATCTTTCTGGGCCGAATCCTCATCCCGCCTAAACCTCAATACAAAAACGGCCACAGGAAGAGATCCAGAGTACTGCTGGGAGAAACAGCCCTCAAAGTATTAGGTGGGAAGCTAACACAAGATATATAAACTGACATGTGGTTTCAAGACACCCTAGAAGCCAAGCATACGTGTATCCCAAAAACATCACAAATAACTCACCAAAACTTCTGCAGACCATGTATCAAGGAATAATTGACTGGCCAATTTGAGAGGCTGGATCCAGGAGCAGAGACGACAGTATAAAATAATCAGAGACCAGCTAGCAGAAACCAATAGAGCAAAACAACAAGTGGGCGGAACTTACCACCCATCTTTCCTCCAAAATCAATTCATGAAGGATTTCTGACATCAAGTTAAAAGTCTAAAGGAAAAGAATATTGCACAGAGCCTATAAATATATTACTTTAGAGGGAACCAAATCTACTACAATGTAGAGAAAGAAAGAATACATGGCCCATACTGGAGAAATGCATTTCGCATCACAGCTGAAGAAAACCAATCCTTTGACTCTGCGGCAGAAGAGAGGATTAGACAAAACCACACCTTCTGGTAATCCTAAGATGCCTCACAGTATCACAACCGAGGAGATCACCAATGCCATCAGACACATGAAGAATGAATCCTCAGGAATCAGCTAGATTAGAAAAAGAAACAGAAACCATAATCCTTACAGCACCTGTCTGTCATTTTCAATGCATCCTTAGCCAATGGATCTTTTCCAAACAGATTCAAAACAGCTCTCATCACACTGACACTCAAGGCTGTAACCCGCTAACAGACCAGAAAATTCCAGGCCAATCTCCCTCGTGGAAATACCATGAAAAGCGCATCATGAACACCCATTTACCGGCATAATAACATATTGCTAAATCCTAGATAATGAGGCTTTCAACAGTCATGGAGCACAACTACTGCAAATGCAATTGCATATAATGAAATAGCCCTAGCTTTGGTAAAGAAGAATTAACATTGTTAATGATGTTGCCAAAGCATTGGCATTGGACACTGACAACTTCAGATAAACCTAGACAGAACAGTAACACAGATTCTATGCAGCTTTCTGGAAAAGAGAAAGGCTAAACTAGAAGTGGGCCATACAACAGGAGAGAAACTTCCACTTCAGAGTTCGACAAGTGAGTGTATTTTCACCCACACTGCATATAATATATACATCATCAATAGATAGTAAATAAAGTATGCAGATGATATCACTCAAATTATCTCAGACCTCATCATCTCGCAGCCAGTTCCAGCTCCTCAGGATTGCCCAAAAGAATGAGCATTTGCTACACCGAATTAGTTTGAAAAGGTCTGGAGAAAAGACAAACAAAACTGGTTATCCCAGCCGTAATAATTAGATCTGGCATCCTCACCTCGAGCACATTAATATTGGATATGCTAAAAAAGGCAAGATACTAGGACTAATGATGACAAACACTAGCTTCTCAGCACACACGAAAGAAAGAACACTAATTGCTGGAAGCACTTATATCAAACTAAACAGTTTTTTAGGCTGGTCTAAAAACGTAAAGCTCCACTTATACAGAACATTGGCAAGGTCCATCTTGGATTACCCTCCCAACCCCTTGAACAGCAGGAGACACAATCTTGAGCCGATTAACATCTGCATACACAGAACATAAGACAGCATAGATTACGTAGGAGACACCAATTATGAGCAAATTATTGAAGTTCACAATAACACTGAAGAACAGATGCTAGCCAAGAAGTCTGACAAGAGTAAGAGAAAAAACCCTGAACCGATATACTCATGCACAAACAGGTAAAGACATGCCAGATAAGAATCTCCATGGAACATGGTGTATGTGAATGTGAGTAAGTGTCAGTACATGTTTGACCAGTAATAGACCGGTATACCTACACAAGAGTACAGAGGCAGGTGTGTGTGTGTGTGTGTGTGTGTGTGTGTGTGTGTGTGTGTGTGTGTGTGTGTGTGTGTGTGTGTGTGTGTGTGTGTGTGTGTGTGTGTGTGTGTGTGTGTGTGTGTGTGTGTGTGAGAGAGAGAGAATTATGGGGGGAGAAAGAGAGAGGGAGAGAGAGAGAATGGCGAGGGTATTTCTCATCCTCTAGATCAGGGCTGCCAAACGCATTTACCCTAAGGGGCCACATTTCAACTCAGTATACAGCATGCGGGCCAGATAAAGTCGAGGCAACGAGCCCATTTTATTTTTCATTACAAAAAATCACAATAATAGAAAAAAATATAAGGCTGTGGTAATAATAAAAAAACGATGGTCTAGCTTAATTAATCCTACAAAACGTCCGACTGCAAGACTGAAATACCAAATGAAATGCGAGGTTCTCCATTCTTTTTGTACATAGTGTATTTTACTGTAGGGGACAAGGCGAGGACTCAACATCCCGACGACAGACCATCTTGCTTGTCCGAAGATTGGGAAGCTGACGGTCCTCGAGAGAGAGAGAGAGAGATAGATAGATAGATAGATAGATAGATAGATAGAGAGAGAGAGAGAGAGAGAGAGAGAGAGAGAGAGAGAGAGAGAGAGAGAGGGAGAGGGAGAGGGAGAGGGAGAGGGAGAGGGAGAGGGAGAGGGAGAGAGAGAGAGAGAGAGAGAGAGAGAGAGGGAGAGGGAGAGGGAGAGGGAGAGGGAGAGGGAGAGGGAGAGGGAGAGAGAGAGAGAGAGAGAGAGAGAGAGAGAGAGAGAGAGAGATAGAGAGAGAGAGAGAGAGTTAGAGAGAGAGAGAGAGAGAGAGAGAGAGTTAGAGAGAGTTAGAGAGAGAGAGAGAGAGTTAGAGAGAGAGAGAGAGAGAGTTAGAGAGAGTTAGAGAGAGAGAGAGAGAGAGTTAGAGAGAGAGAGAGAGAGAGAGAGAGAGAGAGAGAGAGAGAGAGAGAGAGAGAGAGAGAGAGAGAGAGAGAGAGAGAGAGAGAGAGAGAGAGAGAGAGAGAAGTTAAGAGGCACTTCAACGCGTTATGTTTGCCGGGAACTCGTATCTACTATACCTGATAGATGAGATCTTAAAGGAATAGGGAAGGAGAAGAAAAAGAGGAAGAAAGACCAGCAATACGTACCGTAACATTCTACAAATATGAATGAGAAAGAACACATCTTCAACACAATTTCTTTCTGAATATATGGTTAACCTGCAACATTCATGCCTAAATCCAATGCTGTATCAATGTTCAATCTGTACTGATATAGTTCAACAAGTACTTCTGACTCTGTAGGGAGCAGACCCAAAATTGTCCGGTGTGGCTTGACCACGGGAACTTCATTTGCTTCCTACGGTAATAATTATGCATCTATCAAACTCATTTCTTAGTGAACTGCCTGTGGAGGGACAGTGCTTGACAGGGTGGCAGGACTCTCCACCAACATGAACTTCATGGGGAAGATCATGTGTACGGAAGGTAATCTTGGCAATATTGGTATAGGATTTACGGTGACCTCTGGGAGGAATACTATAGCATTGCACTGATGCTGCATCATAGTCAATGAAATAGGCAAGCTTATCGTTTTCACAGTCTGACCAATCCTTGTCTTGGACAGGGCAGTCAGCCGGGGATATGGAAGTTCTAGTACAAAATACTAAGAGAGGCGTGAGACTGGGCAGGAATAGGTTTGCCAGTGAGATCAGTCAGGGTAGATAATCCGCGAGCTTGGGGTTCAGATGTAACTTTGACGTGGCATGAATGAATGGGACTGCTGCAGAAGGAAACTTTGCTTACTTATTTATGGAACCCATGTTGGCAGAGAAGGGTATTGTCAGAATCGACCTGACTTGGCTGGGTTAAAAAGGGTTGTCAAGGTTGAGGTAGTTGCTGAAGGACGAAGATGGGAGGAAAAGGGAGTGGTGTTGAAAGAGGTAGTACCGATGCAAGGACGGATGCAGGGGACATTCCCAACACTGTAGCCTCAGTCTCCGT